CGAGTAGCTCATATGGTATGATTCACTACTTACTCAACATGTTCTTATGTCCTAATTTATTATGTTAATGACAGGGTGCTTTATTACCTTAAAATTTGGGATTGAAGAGAATGGCCAAATCAACAATTTTAAGATCATATGTAGTTTTTATTTATGAATAAGAAAATTTATGATACACATCAAACATAACAAGCAAGAAATTTATGACTGCTATAATTGATATCAAATGGATATATACCAATGAATATTTCCTTCTCCAAGAACTCATAAGTGTATTTTACTACTTGGCGAGAATCTTCATCAACATTTCCTATAAAATATGTTTCATTGAGATCACCTGCATAACAATTAAAAGTATTTCGCGTGTAAAATTTTTGTAACTTTGCACCCAAAAAATACAACAATCCTGAAATGATAAAAAAATTCAAATATTTAAAATAAGTGAAAATCACCGAACAACAACAAGAAAAGAAAATCAAAACGAACCACGGAAACTTACAAACTATGTTTTTTCGTCTTCAATGGTGGTTTTCACCTACGACAGTGCTTCCAAACGGAGGTTGTAGCGAAACAAAACGACGAGAAGCTTTAAAACCCATGTCAATGGTGGTTTCGGCGTTGAACGATGCTTCGAAATGGCGGAACCTTCGGGCAGAACGACGACACTCGTGGCTGGTCCTACGAAGACGGACTCCGGCGGCACTCGTGGCTGGTCGGAGGAACACGAACTCTGGCGACAATCGTGGCTGGTCGAAGGAAGACGGACTCCGGCGGCACTCTCACTCTAGGGTTCTCGCTCTCTCTCAAGCTTCTCTTCTCTCGCTACCAATGCCCCAAATTCAAATTCCAAAACTTAAAATGAAACCCTCAAATTTGAAACCTCTCTTCGACTGAAATCTCTTTCCACGTCATTAAAAAATCTGAAACCATTTTCTACCTGGACCAATAGCATTTTGACACCTGTCCCATGTCAAAATGTTGTCAAAAATAGTTGTTAAAGTATCATTTTCCTAAGGAAGAATACCTACATTTTAATCATTACCCTATTTAAAGTATTTTAATGAACTTTGTGTGGATAAGCCTAAATTAACATGATACAATAATCTTGAGCCTCTTGTTAAAAGGTGATAATGTGGACTTTGTAAGTAGATATGTACGTGTCTAGACATAGATCATAAAATGAAATTAATGAATAAAACTTTCTTTTCAGCACCACCAAATATCAAGTTATTGTCAATATAAAGACAACGACGACGAGTAATTGTTTGTTTAGTTATGGTAAAAGTTCAAAATTCAGAAGGAAAAAAAATTCTTCAAATGATATCGTGAGAGTTTAATCTATACATATGGTATCCCTAATTCTACTTTATGTTCAAACCTGTCCAATAAAAAAATACCCAAACAACCAGAGCACAACACCACCCCCAAGAAATTCCGATCAAAAGAAACCAAAAACAATAACTGCAACCTAATCTAACACAAAAAGGAAAGAAAAAAAGCATAACTCTTTATCGTCGTCATCGTAAATTCGCAATTCACCAAAATCCCGTCGTCTCAACAACAGTCAAGAAGAATGCAGCCGCCACCCCAACCTTCGGGTTCTCCCACGTAAACCCGACCCGGACGCTATCCGGGTTTTGACCCGTTCAAACTCGGTGAGTCGGCACGGAATCTTGATCCCACCGGGGTGCTCGAATCCGAATTCCTTCTCAGCTTCCCTTAACAACCCGCTGAACAGAGGATGGTTGAAGTAAATCACTGGCACCAAAACCCGGCGACACTCGCCGTTGTCCTCGGCCACGTAAACTGCCAAGTGCCCTTTCGGCACCGCCAGAGCCCTCTCGCAAACGAGACCCGATCCGGATTTCTTACAGAGAGACTGCGCTCCTCTCTTCAACTTTGTCCCCCATGTAAGAAGCTTCGTCATGGGATTATGACTGTAACTGTGCGAAGGAGAGGTGGATCCGAGACGACAATATCTGTTGGATCGGGTTCTGAACCGAACCCGACGGAAGACCCATGTGGCGACACGGAAAACGCGCTTGCCTAGTCTGAACTGCATGGTCATCGAGAAAAAAGCTCCACAAGAACACAAATTTCGATATATAAAGTGCCCTTCGTTTAGGTTTCTAAGCAATGTGGGAGTTGTGAGGTAAAATAGCTGTGGAAGGTTATTGTTTTCATTAGATGAGGAATTGAGTGAAAGAGGATGATGAATGGGGTGAAGGATGAGAGAGAGATGAGGGCATGTTTGGCATGTAAATGAGCTTTAGGAGAAGTGAAGAGTTGAAAGGTTTTTGGAAAGAGAAGGAGAAGCGTCCGTCCAATGATGTTGGCGCAGGAATTTGGGAATATTTATAAGAGAGTGGGAAGGTTCAATGAAATGGGTGTTGTAAGGGTCAAACGTTATATTAGTGAAGAAACTGCACGATGTTCAGATGAGAGTGTGTCTGCGTGCGTGGCGTTTTCCAATGCAACCCGACAATATATTAATATATTAAAGAACAATAATATCATGACAAATTTTACATTCGTTTAACATAAAAGTGGTAAAAGGATATCTTTTACATAAATTTTTATATTTTTTTTAAAAAAATAATATTAAATGAATATAAAAAATTTAAATATATCAAACAATATATTTTTATATTAAACAAACCATATTTATTTTTATTACTAAAATATATCTATTTATTTCATTTTATTAACTCGGACAAACTTAATTAATTTCTTTTTATTCACTCGGACAAACTTAATTAAAAGTTTGGAGATCAAAATATCATTATATTTCAAACAATTAACTAAATAGGAATATATTCTCTTTTTTAAATACATTACTTATCAGACTCTTTTATACGGTTTTTTGTTATTTACAGTGTCATGTTATTGTTTCATTATAAGTAATTTCAGCAAACTTTAACAAATTTATATTTTTATTTAATTATGTTAAGAGTATGTTTTTTAGTTTTATTTTGAAATCATGTTTAATTTTCTTGAGCTTAAATATAATTGTCTTTATCAAAAATTTCTATGAAATTTAGTTTCTTTACAATAGATTTCAGTTTACTCTATCTGCACGATTAGAATAAAGAATATAATTTATTTTTTATTAGTATAAAAATAATGTTTAACACCACGCGTTAACATTCAATAAATGAATAATTAATATAAGAAAAGACATATGACCGTTTTGTAAACAAAATTTATTATAAACGTCAGTTACAAGGTTCCTGACGTCAAATATGTATTAAATGTCGATCCCTTTATATCAAATGTCAAATGTTTTATTAGAAGAACTGAAAAATCACTCTTTTATTGACTTTAGACGTCGGCTATAAGCGCCTCGACGTCTAATGCAAATTTGACGTCCAATCCCATTTCATAAATGTTAATAAGCTACGAAAATACCTCAAAAGTGAAGTCAATATTTATTATTTTTACAAATTCTCTTATGCCATTCACAATTTCTTCACAAATTCAACATCTTCTTTCATATTTTGCCTTGCCTCAACCATTGCAACCACATATTCCTTCTTTTCAACTAAATCATTCCTAGATTTAAACCCTTCGTTAGGGTTTCTTCTCCTCTTTCACCTTGTTCTTCAATTTCAACCGTTTAATTCCTTGTTTTCACCATTTAAACACTTTTATGCCGATCAATCTTACGTTTCAATCATTTAATTGGTCCAAATTAGGTTTTCCTCACCATATTAAGGTTCCTTCATCATTTTAGGGTTTTCTCCCGAATAAACCCTAGTTCCTTGGGTTCTAGTGAGTTTGATCTCTCTTTAGGCTTGTTTGCATTCGACTTCTACTTTTCCTTCGAGTGAGCTCTCATTCTCAAGTTTCTTCTTCATTTACACTACAATTTACTCTCCGAGGAAGCTTGAGGAGGTTTGAATAGCACTCGTGCAGCTCTAATTTGTCTTCTCCTCAAGCGTCTTCCATCATGGTACATGAACATAGTCATTGTAGACCAAAGTCGGTCTACCATTACGGATTTATTGAACCTCAGACTACTCAACCTTCTAGTAACACACTTCATAGCAAACAAAAATATTTGTAAACATGGATGACTGAGTCAAAAAGAGACATGTACCTTGCGCCATATATTGATGGGTATGTGTTACAAAATGTAAAATTTTATTAAAGTTTACTTAACTAGTCCACTAACTATTTATGATTCATGATATGTCTCATTGGTAACTCATGGTCATCATACCAAGACAATACACAATTCTATGGTTTTGTTCCTTACACAAGAGGATGAAAAATGAGTTGAAATCTATGCTACAAATGTAAGTGTTTCTTTTTTTATGTTTCAAATGTTACAAATCCATGTTGTAATGGTTTTCTTATGATGAATATAGTTATATTCATATTACCTTATGTTTTCAATGTAAATAGAGTTATGGGAAAACTAGAGGTCAGCTAGTTCAAATCCTATATCCAAAGGTTGTAACTCATTTATAGTTCTTATTCATTTACTGTTATTGTATGATCTATATATGAAACTATTTCCTTTATCATTTTAGTGTAACAAGCAACTAGATTCATGGGAGTGTGACTATTATGTCATGTCTTGGATTAAAACCATCATTTGAGCAAGAACTACAGATGATTGTATTGAGGTAATAATACTTACCTTCCAAACATTACAAATTACATTCATCTTTGAACATTTGTATGTAAACATAATGAATTTGACTTAATTTTGTAGTGTTTCAAGAATACATAACCTATATCAAAGGACAATTAAGAAGATACGACAACAGTGGGCAGCGTATCTTCTATAGAGATGGACTTAGGACCTACGACAAGAGTGGAGAACGTATCTTCTATAGAGATGGACTTAGGACCTATGGCCATTCCTTTAGGAACAATTTTATTTTTGTTGAATACGTTAATTACTTTACTCTTGATAGTTTAAGTTTTGGATTGCTTTAGTATATATAATTTTTTGATGTGTTGGAATGATTTTCTGTATTTCAGGCTTGGTAATATTGTAAAATAAATTAATTAAAAAAAACAAAAATGGATGTCGGTTAGTGTCAAAACGAACGTCAATTGACGTTTGGTAATCCACAGCCCGACGTCTTATTGGTTTTAATGGCTCACCAGGATTTTCTAGCTCATCGAGGCAGAGGTGCGCTCAACGCAAGTTAACATCAGTGTTGTGGCAGCTAACGTCAGTTTTGATGTTTGTCCACGTGGCACCCGACGTCACTTGACATCCCATATGGAATCCGACATCAAATTGTCGTCTCCCAATTTGATGTTGGGACGGGGTTGGATGTTGAATGTCCAAAATAACAAACGTCAAAAGGCCTTTTTGGTATTGGATTTATTACGTTTCTTGTTATTGAAAAAATAACTACAAATGAGTTTAGATCACAACAAATTTCTATTAGAGAACTGCACATAATACTTTTACCAAATTGTTTCATTTATAATCAAAACAACTTCTTCACATCTATAAAAAGAAACTCTACGTGGGTAACACATTATATTATCTTAAGTTAATCATAAGAAATAAGAATGGAAATATACTTGAATTTACAATTATAAAAGGGAAGAATGATTTAGCTTTCCAAATTATTACATACTCTCTTGATATAACCCTTTAATAATCTATTTATCTTTAATAGGATGTTCGAAGAGACGAATATAATGTGATATGGAGACTTAACCTTTTTATTGATATATGAGATTGTCATTTGATGTTTATATTTATCTATTACAAAAAAATTACATTTTAATTACCAAATATTCAATAAAAAAACAACTTATTATGTCACTAAATTTATGTTTGATAAGTAAACAACAAACGTATAAAATACATGATGACATTAAACGGTTAATATTTATGTCTAACTTAAAAGTGACAGATGTGAAAAAGAGTTTTTACGTCTGGTGTATATTAGTCAGATGTAAATTTACATCTAATGCATATACAACAGACGTAAATTTATGTATAACCTATTAGCGCCAAACATAAAAACACTTTTTTACATCTAATGCTTATAAATAAGACGAAAATGCATCTACAAAAGTCCTCTAACATTAATTTCTCCTCACTTTTTCCCTTGTGTGAAGCTGCCTCTTGATAGCCATAACCATTTTGTGCAAGTTAGAACTTTCATTGGTGACCAAAAGTTACATTTTTAATCATTATCGTGTGCCATTCATTGGGAAACAACTTTCTGTTTGAATTTTTTTTTGTATTGAGGTTAGTTTCTTATTCTTCTTAGGTTTAATACATCATTTGGTCCCTACTTTTGGGGGTTTGGTTCAAAATGGTCCTACCTTTTGAAAAAGTTCAATAAGGCCCTATATTTTGTTTAAAAATGTTCAATTCGGTCATTTTCGTGGACGCCGTTAAAAACATAACGGTGTTGATGCCACTGTAGCCAAATCTGAGTGAGGTGTTATGTTGGATGATTACGTGGCACTGTAAAGTGAAGTGTGTGTTCTTTAATTAAAATCAAAGAAAATTCCAATCTAAAACCCTAACGTTTTAAGAACCCTAAAGTGGAAATTAGAATCATAAACCCTAAATTGGGAAAAAATCCCCAATCTTTTTAAGCAATTTTGCCTTCCTTCCTTCTTCACCAACAGTGCGTCGTACATCGAACATGGCTAATCCTTTCACACTTTTAACCTAGTGATCCATGGGTTTTTCCTCTCTCTATCGTGGGTTTCATAAAACCCCAATCTTGATCCCTTTTTCGGTGCACCGCCATGTTTTCTATCGTGGAGCTCTCGCAAGCAGTGGTGATCATTGGAAACATAATGATTTTTGGTTGCGTTCGAAGTGATGGTGGTTTTGATTCTGGTTTTCTTACAGGTCTGGCGAGGCACTCTATTTCTTCTTTTCCCTAACAAAAGCTCCCTTATACATTCACAGCGGAGCTCTGTTTCAGGAAGTGACGTTCCCTTGTTAGTGGTCTACAATGGAGTCGTGGTGGCTGTCTTCGAAAAGCACTTGCGACGGTGGCACCTTCGTAATGAAGGGTCATTCTTTCAACAACAATCACTCCGGACAACTTCGGGGTGATTTACGATAGAGTCGCGATAGTGAAGCTTGTGAGCGACAACGACTCAAACACATCTTTCTTCTCAAGATTTGGTGGATTTGCACCGGTGGGGTTGCTTGCAACAAAGTGATGGAGATCCTGATGAACAAATCTGGTTTTGGTTATAGTGTCCTTCGTTGTTCTGATTTGGCCACGTAATCATCCAAATCCGGTGGGGTTGCTTGCACCAACTCACTTCACTTCACAGTGCCACGTATACATCTAACATAACACCTCACTCAGATTTGGTTACAGTGACATCAACACCGTTATGTTT